CAAGTTCTGTTAAGATACAGCCTGTTGTGCCTTAAAATGGCTTCTACTGTACAGCACAGTGGAGTTGCCATGGTGATGGCTTCGCAGTACTCCACAAGGTAAGGGAAGGAATTGGTAAGGATAAAATAAATACCCATTCAACGCCGTGTTGTCAGGTAGCGAGAAATAAAAGGAAATTTCAATGCTACCTTGGTGCTCTTAATTCCAGAAAGTTCACACTCCACACTTGTCAAACTGTCCTAAATCAAGTTGGTCAGTGAGAGGGTGTTAAGGTGTTACCAAGGATTTGATAATTCGCCAAGAGTTTAGATTAATTCTGCAGGCTCTGCCGAGCCATTTAGTGGCAAGCAGAGAGGTGTCAGGCAACGGATGCCGAGGAAGGATTAAAGGAAAGCAGAAGCAAGCAAGGGAAGACGAAAAGAGATACCTACCTCCTAACGCAGAATAAGAAGAGACAGCCAGTCACAGAACAGAAAGGTGATAGATCTCAGCCCAAAAGGAAAACAAGAAGGCATGTTTAAACCAGTCATTTCCAACCCCCCCACCCCAAAAATCGAGAACCCTAAATCAAAACCAACAGAAAGGCACCAATAACAAGTGGGGGAAAACAGAAAACATTCAGGCATATAAAAGGAAAAAGCTTGCGTGTTTCCTGGTAACCCATGGTTAAAAAAAAGTACATTACAGAATACGTATTGGCGGAAGATCATTTAAATCCAACCGAACGTTTGATGGGCTCGGGTGCTCGGGGAAAAAAAATGGGCAGTTTTCAGATTGGTAAACTCGGAAATGCAATTCCACAGCTCGGCAGCCAAAATCACCAAAAAGCAAGACATTTTTCCCCCCCCAGTGAAATAAATGATTTCAGCAGAAAGGGATAAAGGCTGCCATTATTCGGTGTGATTTCGAAACCAGGAGTGGAAGGGCGGAAAGGGGGGGGGGAAGGGGGCTAAGCAGCCATCGGCCGAGGCCAAAGCTGGGAGGGAAGCACGGATCGACTCACCTAATTTTAGGAGCCAGCCTTCGCGATCGGGATTAAAAAAGGTATGGGTTAAATCGTTCCCATCGTCTTCTGGAATCTTAAAGGGCTCGTTTTTAATGCTTTCGTATAAATTCTGAAAAGAAACCAGAGGGGCAGAGAAGGTTAACACCACAAATAGGGATGCTGGGTCAGGTGCAAAGGATCTGGGCCGTACATTAAATTGCAGTTGAGAAGATTCAATGGGTAAGTAGCAGAGGTGAGTTCCTACCAGTTCTCACCTATTCGGTAGAACCGGTTCGTCAAATCTACCGGACCGGTTAGAAGAGGTTCCACCAGTGGACCCGGAAAGCAGGCCACACCTACAGAAGAGNTGGTATTTGCCGGTTCTCCAAACTACTCAAAATTTCGGCTACCGGTTCTCCAGAACTGGTCAGAACCAGCTGAATACCACCTCTGGCACATGCGATGATCAGGTGGCCTTTGTGCATGCGGCTGTGCCGGAAACCGGAAAAGATGGGCTTCTGTTTTTTGGCATGAGGATGTGTGCCGGCCAGCTGATTGGCACATGTGCGGCAGTAACCAGAAAACCTTCTGGCTGGTGCTCATGCGCGCACCAGAAACCAGAAAGTTCATCTTTTAGCACATGCTTCCTGGGCAGCTCCTCTTCCTGGGCGCAGCCCAGATGCGCACGAACTACTCCCATTTCGGCACTTGGTGCCGAAAAGATTTGCCATCACTGTCATGGCTGTCCCAAAGGTACTTTTTCAAGAGGCAACTGAACTTTTATTTTCCCTTGAAGACGTTTTGATTCTTATCCAAGAAGATTTTTCGGCTCTGACAGAATCCTTCCATTCTGCACTATGCAGTCAGAGCTGAAGAAGCTTCTTGGATGAGAAGCAAAACATCTTCCAAGAAAAAAATAAAGTCCAGTTGCCTCTTGAAAAAAAGCACCGTTGGGACTGAATTTAAACATTTGCGGGGGCTTATTTAGGAAAAAGGGGGCAGGAATGGCTTTCTCTCCATCCTAATCCTGGGGGATCGCTGGAGCAAAAACCGCTTTTGGTGATCCGTGAGAAGGCAGATTTGCCAAAGAATAAAACAAACCTCAGATTTCTGGCAAAGATTTCTGGCAATCCTGCCATGAGGGGGAGGGAAACCATCTGCAATTCATTACATCGTTTTCCGTCCTCTGTCTGTAGCATTAAAATAGGGCAGCAGACAGTTCCTGCCTCTGACATGGACGAGGGATGGACTCTTGAAATGAGTCGACAGTCAAGTTAGAAGTTAACTGGGAATGAAAACAGATGCTACCGGGGCTGACCGGCCCACGAAACCTGGATTTGTAACGGAGCTCTTTTCAAAAGAACAAGAGAGCTTGGATCTCAATTATTAATTGTCCATTAATTGTCTATTCTTTCATCAGAATCTGGGTGACTTTGGCGAACCTCGTTTGCAATAGTGGTGAATATCTGTAGCTGGGGGGGTAGTCAGGGGTGGGATTCAGCCGGTTCGCACCAGTTCGGGCGAACCAGTTGTTGCAAGGACTGGCTGGCCCCACCCCCTCCCAGGAGTCTCCCCATGGCCCGTTCATCATGCCAGGTAAGTGCAGGGCCCAAACCTGGTACACAGATGACTTACTCTCTGGAAACAAACACTGTGGGGGTAAGATATCCTAACACCCCTTGAGGGGTATGTGTGTGTGCTTCTGTGTCTGTGTGTTCCAGCATAACTCTGGAATGCCTGGGCCGCAGAAATGAAAAGGAATAAATTATATCTATAGTGTCAAATCACAGTACTTTTGACAGTGATAGTGCGCATTTTGGATTCAAGTTCTGTTAAGATACAGC